TTGACAAAGGTAGTGCTTGATGAAGGCCATCGATCAGTTCACTTCTCCACCTCACTGATGTCCAAGAAGGGACAGGGAGAAAAGCTTTCAGACCTGTCAAGGACAAATTCTCTACGTCTGCCAGTTGTAGACCCTGCAAGTGGAAATTTTCAGTGCCACTGCTATTCTACCATCACTATTACAGGGTGGAGGTGAGCTGCCCTCACCTCCCTGGCTTCCTTGTATGTCATTACTGAAGACCTCGGTTTGGGGAAGACAGTAGAGTACCAATGGTTTAATAAGATCTTAGAGGATAAAGCTGAGACCATGTCAGACTACAGTGCCACTCAGCCTGTCCTCAGCCACTTTGACCTTGCAGATCCAGGTTACTGAAACATTACCAGTCTCTGACTTGACTGGCCTGCCTGGTCCCCAATCCTGTCTGCCTCTCTACCTTCTCTCACACTAGAGATGGATTGTGAAATGAGATGTACAGTTCCTAATTCTCTTTCTTTTGCTGTTCATGCTGATTCTCTTCCTCCTTTTTAGGGTCAAGCTCATTTTGGGGGATATACTTAGTGATGAGAATGAAGGCTCTTGCATTCCCATCCTTCAGTCATAGCTGCAGCATCTTCTATTTTGAGCTCTCACCTCCTAGCACCTCATTTGTCTCCTTCAGCTTACATCCTGCACAGTGGACTAACCTATACCTATGAGTCATTCTCCCTTTTTCATACAGACTAGTCCTCAGCCTTTACCTGCCAGCCCATCACTTTCTCTGCAGTTGCCTCCACTTTGTGGTCTCTCCATGCTCAGCATCCAAACCTGCCTTTGACTCGATGAAATTGTTGATTATCACGCCCCCTCCCCAGGTTGGTCATCGCTGGTCTCCTGTTTCCAGTGACATCATGTTCCATTTTCCATGGAGCTCGTTTGTCCTGAAAACATGTCACCCAGTGACAGCATTGTCTCAGACCCAGTTTCCACCAGCTTGCCTGCAGAGTTGGTCAGCAGCCCAGATGCAATTCTCATACCCCCTTTGACCCAGAAATGGTTCCTCAGCCTGCATTTGGGGCTCCTGGAGCCACCCAGTGGCAGCTCTTTTCCTCTTGGTAACCAGGCAGACCAAGCTCCTAATTTAATCTTTGCTGCAACCCGGCCATCCAGTAGCAGCATAACTCAACCAGGTTTGCGGGCTTCACATACCCATTTTTCACCTTTGGCATCCCTGTCAGCATTTAGTCAACCTGTGGTGATCCTGCCAACATTGTACTCCCATTGGCACAGCCACCACTGGTTTTAGAGCTGCCACCAGGATGCCCAGTGCTGGGGACAGTAGTTCACTATTTGCTAATACCATTGCAGAACCATTTGCTTTTATGGGATCTGCAGCCCTTATGGGTAGTGGCAGCTTTGGGGTGAGTTTGGCTACCCAGGCCCCACCTCCGTTCTGGAGCAGTCAGCTTTGGTTCAAGACAAAGCAGACACTAGCCCCGTAAGTTGAGGATTCTTAGACCTGAGCACCAAGGTCCTGCTGGCCTGTAGCACTCCAGCACTCTACCTCTACAGAGAACAGATCTGTCCTGGGAGACACTTTCCTTCCTGACTATTGTCAGAGCACTTGGGGCTGGCTTGGCAAAGGCACACCTGTGACTATTGGAGGAGTCAGCACCACCGAGAAGAAATGAGTGCCAGGTCATACTTTTGTTCCTCGTAGTGGTCAGGTCAGCTGGGATCCTTCATGCCAGGGCACATCTGTTGCAGTGAGAGAGACTAGCACCATACTTACGTTGGGTGATACTTCTCTTACCGCCTTTTGTCAGAGCCCCTAGGGTCCCTCTGGCCATAACTCAAGTGCCGCAGTGGGTGGGATCAACACCATTTTTTTTGCCTGGAGATATTTCTTTTCATGCCTATAATCAGAGCGCCTGAGGCCCACCTGACCAGAATTTGTCTTTTGAAGTTGTAGGAGCCAGTGCCATTCCTATGCTTGCAGGCCCTTATGTTCCTGCCTACAGTCAGACAAACTGGGGCCCATGTGGTACAATGGAGCAGACATCACCAAACTTGTGCTTGAGGGCCTTCTCACCATCATTCTGAGCTCCTGGGGTGCTCATGGCCAAAGCATTTCTGTTTCAGAGGGACAATGCCATTCATTTTTAGAGAGATATTTCTATTTTTGTCTGCAGTAAGGATACCTGGTCATCCAGCCATGGGACCCTCTTTAACTTTTGAGGGGCAGCGCTACTGAGAAAACGCCTATGCTTGAAGTACTTGTGCCCCTACGTTTGGTCAGAGCAATTGCAACTCTGATGTGGTCACAGCAAGCATGAGCTTTGCCTTGGGGCACCTTTGTTAACACCCAGGGCTTGTGGGAGACAGTAGTGTAGGACCACCAACCCTTCATTTTCTCCTAGTGCAAGATGCAGATCTCAGCAATTAAGAAGCAAAAGCTTCCATGAATAGGATTTGCTTTGCCAGGAAGAGGCTCAGTTCCTTGTAGTTATGTCAGAGAAACTTAACCTCTCTCTGTCTTCCAACTGCAAGTTGGAGGTCTGACAACTCAAGATATGTGTGTGTGTGTGTGTGTGTGTGTGTGTGTGTCAGAGTGTATGGGGCAAAGGAGGCTGGTCAAAAGTCAGCATTCTGAACTTAAGAAGTTGCATTGTTGAGAGCTGAAGAGAGCTCTGTATGTGTCAGCTGAGCCCTTTCTGGCTTTCATTGTTAGCCTGGCTGACCCAAGCTCTGGGTCAGATTTTCATCTCATCTTGAAACTGGTAGGATGCCCCACTGCTGCCTACAACTGCCCATTTCTCCTTACTGTTTGTTTCAATGGTCCCTTTCTTTCTATCCCAGATTTTGTATATAAAGCCTTGTTCTTGCTAATTCATCATCTGCTCATGTGTCTTTGCTCTTTGACTTATTTACCTTCGGAGGAAGAGTTGATGTGTATGAATGGTGATATATTTGGTCAAAATTAACTGTGGAAATTTTTCTGTGGCCCAGTGAATAGAAGGTGGATGATCTCACATTTGATGACTTGCACATACTGACTTCTGTAGTCTCTGTGCTTCTACTGTAAGAGTGTGGAAACCAGAAGAACATGAGATCCAGGGGACAGAGAGATGGTGATTCTCCCTTGCTTCTTCTCTCTGGCCTTCTTTCCCACCATCTGACCTCACTGCAGGTGAGACTATCATTGATGTATGTTGAGAAACCACACTTTATAATTTTAGTCATTTAAAAATGTTTCAATGTATTTTGTGTATCTTTTTCTTTAATTTAGGCTTAAGCCACTTATCACATATTAACACTTCACCTAGAGAGGATAGGCCTGGCATCTAGGCTTATGGACCTGCAGGAATAAAGTCAGGAAGAGCTCACATCTGCTCTGTATGATTGAAAATGTAAATGTATTATATATTATGGTGGTTATCATGCTGCTTAAAAAATCAGAACTTACTCTCTTTTCAGGGGAATAACTAGAAAGGGCCTTTTTGGGAAAATAACTAGTTTGGCACTTGGCTATACCCCTAAAATATCAAATTGCAAGAATTACATTTTCACCCAACCAAACCACAAGGAGACTTGGAATGAATCCCAGGAGTGTCTGGGAGACATGTTTCCTGAGATGAAGCAAGAGGAGGGATCCTTATCCTCAGTCGTGAGCTGGGTGTGTGCGAGGCAGGTGTGAAACCTCGTGCTCTGAATGTGGTCAGAGTGGTTCTGAGTCCTTAGGTGGGATAAAGAATTTTGCCTGAGAAAAGAGGCTGATTTTCTCACTGATGAGTGTAGTTGTGTTAATACTGTTTAATGGGTTGATTCATGCTTTCCCCATGATACATCCTTTCTCTGTGGCTTGATTTCCTGGGGTCTTTATTCTAAGAGGGGCAGTGTGTAGAGAGCCTGCTGAGCTTGTCCACCTTAAATCAAAGGCACTTGCATTTGGATGCAGCCTCAGAGGGTGCCCATCCTGACTCATGACACCTCTGGCAGTGGGTCCTCCTGGCTCTGTTCTTTCCAGCCCAGTGAGTACAGCTGTGGCTTTGTAAGGCTGTCTCATTCTTGGATAGCACGAGTGGTTTAGAACAGACCTTCTACAGACAAGGTGCTTCAGATATGTGAACATAAGTAATATCTCCTTCTAATTATCCCTCTTCACTCCACTTAAATATATTTTTTCTTTTAATTATTCTACTTCTGAGAAGAGTGTCAGAGCCCCCAGCCCTCCTCCCTGGTTACCCTATAGAAACTCTATGTTACACAGTGACGCTCTTAGTTAAACTGATTGTGAACATGTCGATGCCAGCTTCTTTCATTTAGCACTGACTAATACAACTTTGTGGTAAACTATTAAGTTAGTTAATTTAAATATTCTGACAAGCTTTAGTGAGCTTATGTATGCCTGAAATTTTGCAAGAATCCAGAGGTATACAAATAAAATAACTCTTGTCTCCTTACTACCAGAGCTTAAAACTTAGTTGGAGAAATAACATGCGAACAATTATTAAAATGCCATATGAAAATTATCTGTATGAATTGACAGCTTTGAAGGAATTCCAGGTACTGTGTAATCTCCATTGTCTCTTTTTCTTCTTTTACACCAAATTTTGTGAGAGGTTACTTTGGGGGATGCTCAAACTCTGAGGAGATTTGTAGAGTGCCTGACTTACTTATTTTGCATAACTCAAACTTTGTACTCTTGGACCATCACCTACTGTTTTCCCCCTTCTCCCTGCTTTGGCAGCCATCGTTCTACTCTCTGCTTCTGTAAGTTTCACTATTTTAGATTCCACATGTAATGAGGTCATGCAATGTTTGTCTTTCTATGTCTGGCTTACTTCATTTAGTATAATACCCTTCAGGTCCTTCCATGTTGTTGCAAATGGCAAGATTTCTTTTAAAGGCTGAATAATATTCTGTTGTAAATATGTACTACATTTTCTTTATCTGTTCATTTAACATTTAGGCTAAAAAATGGGCAAAGGAATTGAATAGACATTTCTCCAAAGAACACATAGAAATGTCCAACAGGTATATGGAAAGGTGCTCAAAATCACTAGTCATCAGGAAAATGCAAATCAAAACCACAGTGAGATCTCATCTCACATTTGTTAAAATGGCTGTTAACAAAAAAACCCCAGAATTGTTGCTGAGGATATGGAGAAAAGGGAACCCACACTGTTGGGAATATAAAATGATACAGACATTACAGAGAACAGTATGGTAGGTTCTGGAAAAAAAAAGAGGAACACTCTGATCCAGCCGTCCCACTTTGGGGTATGTATCCAAAGGAGCTGAAATTAGGATCTCAAAGAGATACTTGCACTCCCATGTTCCCTGCAGCATTATTCACAATAGCCAAGATACAGAAATTATTATCTTTTACAATGAGGAATCCTAATTTTTATACAAAATCTTCAGTTTAAAAGGGACACATAACACAAATAAATGAAACTCTTTGCAGAACAACAACAGAGGTCTACATGTGGTATTTCTATGTGCTGACCCTTGTTCTAAGCACTTTGCACCAATTAATTCTGAAGTACTTACTAGGTGAGAATCATCTGTATGGGTATGGGGCCTAGAATGCAAGGGAAAATGGATTGGGTGGTCCCAGCTGGAACTCTCCTAGTGGAGGTGTAGGGATGGCCTGAGCACTGTACTGTCCTCTCTGCTGCTGACCCAGTCTAGTGCCAGACCCCTGCACTCTGCTGACACAGGGAGCGTCTCTTCCTTCCAGATACTTGTCTGCTTTCTCTTTGCTGTCCTCCTCTCTGTTGTCTGAGTTTTAGTTGTGGGAAGTGGAAGAAAGGGCAACAGAACTTTCCAATGAAAATGCTAAGTTATAAGCTTTTATTTCTAGCTAGCCTTGGGCAAAACTCTCTGTTACAACAGAAGAACTTAATTAGTGAATTGGACTTCTGTTCAAAAACCTATACAGGAATCTATGTCTGCTGAGAAAACAGTGTTCTCTCCTGATCTGTTGTTGCCCTGGAGCTGTAATAAAGAAAGTGTCACTGCCCTAGACTCCTACTTCAGAGAGAGAGACCCATCAGCCAAAGAAGCAGGACTCTTTCCCATAGCCTATGCTGACACTGTGGGGAGAATGCAGCCTGCAGGGAAGCTCAGACCTCTAAAGGCAGAGAAGGAAAATGACAGCACCCCTCCACTGAGTGGCAGCCCATTGTGCAGAGAAGCTGGGGTAGAGCCTCTCCAACAGAGCCCAGCCATCAAGGCTTAGGTCTCAAAGATCGTGTTTGGAGAGACACAAATAAAGGCCAAGCACTATATCTGACCAATAATAGGAGCTAAGAAGGAGGCATGTCCTGCCTGCATGGGACCTGAAGAAGAGGGTCCAGGCTGGACCAGAGGGACTGTTGTCTCATATCCTTCACAAAGAACCAGGAACTGATAGCTCAATCATACCACTCTCTGTGGCTCACATGTACAGGATGTCCCCAAAATGGTAGTGTTGTTTTAAGCTATAAGAACGTCAGAGGAGACTATGACATTACAGATTTGTATTTCCACCCCCAATGTCTCTCTTCAACTTTAGACTGGTGTACACAACTGCTGCCTCTACATCTCTTGGGTGTCCAATGGGCATTTCAATCCTAGTGTGTTCCAAAAAGAACTTATTTTTTCCCCCTCTAAACTTGCTCCCTTCACTGCCTCTACAGTAGTAAATGGCAGGACTATTTACTAGGTCATATACTTTGGAGTCATTCTTAGATTAGACATTTTATCATTCCATGCTTTATCATTTTCAATGCTACCACTCTTGTTGACCCTGGTCCTTGCCCACTCTTGTACTACCACAACAGCCTTCTCATTAGTTTCCCTGCTTCCAACTTACTACTGTACAGAACTTGTCCACACAGCAGTCAAAATAATCCTTCTCAAACATTGTTTAATCTTGACACTCCCATGCCCAAGCTACTCAGGTGGCTTCCCACAACAGCTGGAATACATTTATTTTTATCATGGGCTGCAAGACCCTTCCTGATCTAGTCTCTGTTTACTTCTCTGACTTTATTTCTCACCATTCCCTCCATCACTGCCCTTAAGCCTGCTGATCTTGCTCTCCCTCAGGAGCACCCCCAAGAAGGCCATTACTCTGCAGGCTCTGGGCCTGGAATGCTGTTCCCCTATATAATTTTCCAGCTGCCTCCTGAATCTCATTCATGGCTTTGCTGCAGTGTTGCTTCTTCAGAGAGGCCCTTTCTCACCATCCTGAGTAAAGCAATACCCTCTCTGAATCCAACACTCATACTCCGTTTTCTTACCCTGCTTTGTATTTTTATAAAACTTATCCCTTCCTGGTATTAGATTATAGCTTGACTTAAAAATATTAATTGTCTTCCCCATATTAGAAATTCCATTACAGTGGGGACGTTATTTTGCTATCTCCAGTGCCTTGAACAGTCTTTGACATAGCAGGTGCTTATAAATATTTGTTGAAGAAGGTAGTATAAAATAGAATTAGAGAAAATCGCACACTCATCAGTGATGCTTTCTACTCCTTTTTCTTCTCTTCCTTCTACTTCTTCCTCTTCCTTTCCTCCTCCTGCCTTCTCTTACTTCCTTTTCCTTCTCCCTACCCTCCCCTTTTCTTTTTGCTCCTACTTAAAAAAGTTACTTGTTTTTAATTAGGTTAGACAAAGTAATTGAAACAATAAGGAATAATCATGTTTCTTATGTAGTAGCCTGAGAGTGTGTGTGTGTGTTTGTTTGTGTTGTGGAAGAAGGAGGAGGAGTGGTTGCACATAGTGGATGGATGAGTGAAGGGCAGAACTCTGCTTTTAATGACAAAAGTGTCAGACAAAAGGCTACAGTCTGAGGTGTAGATGAGAATCAAGGGGGCATACATTCTACTTTCTTGGGTTTCCCTATGTAGATGCTTCTGGGGAGCTCAGCTGGGATCAAGTCAGGGGTCAAGAGGACCCTCTAATATTGAATCAATTTCTAGTTACATCCACCTCAGTGCACCCATAAGATGATAATGTCTTGGGACAAAGGGTCATCCATTGGATGGATGGACGGTTAGTGCCACAACTTCTTTCCTTTCCTCTGCATACTTAATAAATAAGCTCAGCTTTAGGACCTGAGTGTTTCTGCCTTTTGGGTGTATTAGGAAGGGTAGTGATAAACCATAATCCTTCTCTTATTTGTTGAGCTAATCCAGAGAACATTGAGAATTATTCCGGAAGTGAATAGATCCTACTTAATGAACGGAGGCCTTAGAATTCTGTATGAATAAGGCAGATTTCAGACAAGTGCCCTATTTCTCTTCTCTTTGTTTCCTCCTCTCTGCACTAGGTCAGTTCCTTTTTGCTACTCCTGTAAAGTTGAGGTTAATCACTGAAATGATAGAGAATTGTAGACTGGCCAGTTCTATCCAGGCCGTGAAAGGAGAGTTTTCATAGGCTCTGGGAAGCATTTGGTTTTCTCTCTAGGCAGCTCTGGAGAGCAAATTGGGATTAAAAAAGAAATCTTCATTGTCTGCAAAGGAAATTCTGAATTCTTTTAAATTCATGAAAATAATCTACTTGGCTGACAGAGAATTAATTATAAAGGGATTTAGTGAAGAATACTTGAGTTTTGATTCAATTAAAAAGTACCCACTGTCCAACTGAGAGTTGAGCAAATCTGCTCCCTGCATTCTTTTGTCAGTTGATGTGTTAACTTTCTAATGGGTTGATTTTTGTCAAGCAGAGAAACATAGAATCTCTTATTTTACTTGTCTTCAGCAGCATGCATTAAGGAGAGCCCGGTGGTATGGTTTTGAGATTGAGGGGGTGGTCGGGAGAAGCTGAACATTAATAAACATGAAGGTCAAGAAACCCAGAGTACAGAGGGTTTTGTTATTCTTTCAACATTTGTCACCAGATGCTTGCCTCAAATAAGTCTGGCTTTGAGAAATGGTTTTTAAGACTTGCTTAGATGTGACAGCTGTAAAAGTCCCTCATGAACTCTGAAAAGGCAATCTCAACCCAGCTGCTCATGTTTAGGGCTATCCAGAATGAAAATGCTATGAGCGACAGATTCATTTCTCTCCCAGCAATGGCTCTGTCATACATTCAGAGCCAAAGATGAGACTGAGTTCTTGTATTTTTCCTTCTGTCTGGACTGACAGTAGTCCTGTGTTCTTGACTACCAGGGGTGTGCAAAAGTAATAACAAACCTTGTGGGTAATGAAAGCTATCACAGTGAACAGTAAGCATATGAATGATCTCAGTGTGGGGAGGGCTTAATTCCTGTGACCACCTTGTAGGACAGACTACAGAGTAAAGAGGGAAATACACCAAATTAACGAATTACATTAAAGTGCATGCAGGAATTTGACTGTACATCTCATGCATGTTGAGGTACCCTTGGAGAATTTCTTTGAGGTAACTGATTGATGTAAGGAGTAGTACAGAGTAGTACAAATTTATTTCAATAAAATTAAGGTGCACTTATTTGTAAATAGATATGTCTCTCCTTTTAGATTGTCAACACATTGAGGACATGAATCATGTCTCATTATTATTTTCTCATTATAAAAAGCTGTATCTTTCATAAATTCTAGCATCATGTCATGTACCTTATTTCTTGCAGTTAATTTTGTTTCTGTTCAATGACACATTAGGAAGTTAAAGCACTTGGAATCAACTGAAATGAAAGCAATTCAGGATTTGCAACTAGGAATGGAGTTGAGGATGTGGCTACTCACTACCTGTCAACTCCATAAAATGGTCTGCTCTAAGTGTACCTTGCTGTAGAGCCCAAGTCAAGACCCCAGAAGTAGTTTCTTACTCTTTCTCTGAATCCTTGTCTGTCAAAATCCTACTTAGTCTTTCTGGTTCAGCTCAGATATTCCTACCTCTAAGAAGCTGGCTCAGATCCCTCTGCTAAAATTGAGTTTCTCCATTCTGTTTCTAGAGCAGGGTTTCTTAACCTTGGCATTACTGACATTTTGCCCCAGATGATTCTTTGTTGTTGTTGAGGAGGTGGTGACAGAGGGGGGCATCCTGTGCATTGTAGAATGTTCAGCAGTATTCCTGGCTTCTATCTACTAGATGTCAGCAACACCTCCTCAGTATGACAACCAATGGTGCTCCCAAATATTGCCATTGTCCCCTGGA